AAAAATAGGCAGGAGAGAGGAATAGCGTAACATATTCCTGTACAACTGAAATAAAGATGAGGTCAACTGCATTTTTATCTCCTATGCTTGCATTTGGCGCTTCAATTAAACATGGAAACTAATGACCTCATTAGATTCTTGGAAAGTAAATGGCATTAACATTGATAGTCTCTGTCTTTCTTAATAAGCCTTTCATGAAAAATAGGCCACAATGCAAACCATGCCTCAGTTAATGACCCATGACCTGAAGATGAACTCAGACATTAATAGAACCTATTAACAGTGTAAATGTAATAACTCAGTGGGACGATATAGTCCAGCAATTAATAAGTTCACATGAAGTTCAACAGAACAACAACGACAAAAAAAATCAGTTTATTCACCAGTATGGTCAAGGTTCAAACGGGATTAATTTCTGAATTTCCTGTGGATTGTAAGGACCTCAAATTCTGCGTGCAAAACTAGCTATAAGGGATCTGTTCTTTCAGCTCTCACTGTGCTTAAAAAGTTCTCTGTTCCTCCGTCTCTGGATTATCTATCAGGTGAGATTCACCTATAATACAGAGCTCTCTTACCCTGCCATGAATAAAAACCCACTGGAAGAGGCTGAATAGCTCCTCTTCCTGTCTGGTGTTACCCGAGCAGCATGTGGGACCAACTGACGTAGAAAAGGTCAGATTTATAGATTTATAGTATTACTGGGGATGGTAAGCAATGCCCCAAATTCCGGTACTGTTTAGGATATTGGGTTTGTATTTGTGCATTTCTCAAGTACTTGTACATCTGTCTTTGCTCTGTCGATTCACTTACGTAGCCTTGCTGGGGGAAGGAGGGGAAAGGCAGTCAAACAATATGGCGAGGTTTAACTGAGCTCAGACATTAAATCATATAACTTTTATTGTCACATTATCTTTCAAAATAGGAGTGGAGCAGATGTTTCTTGACTCCTGTATTCAGTCAGTAGGTCACCACACATTTTAACAGAGCTCCATTGTTCTATTACTTGGGTGGATGGTATGGTAATAACTACTTGGGACTGAGGAACACACTTCGTAGTCATTCTCACCCTCTGGATGAATACCCTCATTTCACTCCTGCAGAATTTTGGCTTCTCTTCGCCCTTCCAGACTTCATAACTGATGAGTATTGAGGGGCCACAGCAAGTGAGATCTTAGCAAAATTATGTAAGCCTCGAGAATGATTTTCCAAGTAGAAAAATGTATACTTCTTGTATTTCTTTT